AACCCGATATCAAAAACGTTTTGATATCACTTGTTGAGAAACCGACCAAATAATTAAAGACGAAAAATATGGGTAATATGAAATTTAATGGATCACACAACAATTAAGAAAAATGTGGAAGAGGAGAATTTATTATACTGAGAAACAAACAATTGTCTTACAAGATTTGATCATGTCAATCTAATCTAAACAATTCTCTCTTATTTCTAATGTATACAAAAATGATCTAATTGTTATAATCGCTCTTTAGTCTTTCCTTTTCTCCCTTTTGAAGTGTATACATTGTGGATTATTTATAGAAGCCAAATCTCAAAGTTGTGGAGTCCAAGATGAAGAAAAAGTCTCAAAATCTGAATAAAACGAAAAAATCATGACCAGGTTACTATTGCAGCGCTTAGGCGCTAGGTGTAGCACCTGGGAGCTACGTCTAGTGCTCAGGCGCTATGTGCCTAATGCTTGGGCACTAGATCTCGAGTTAACATTTTAAAACATGCTTTTTGCCATCCAATAGTTCATTTTCAAGTCAAACTCCTAATTATTATTGAAATTTGATCGCCACAACTTAGGATTTTACAAATTCAAGTACCTTAGACTTTCTTCAATCAACCAAATCCCAAATCACACGGAATCTAATCAACAAAATACTTCTAAACCAAGATTAAACAAGCTTCCTTCATGCAATGAATTTCTAAATCACATAGAATTTGTAACAAAACCTAACAGTGACGAAAGAAGATTCCGACTTCAATGGCAGGTTATGGACTCTTAGGGTTTTATGGCTATTCTTCATCGAGAATTCCACTGGGAGAATGAGAAAAAGGGCCAGTGAAGAGGCGAGAGGGGAGCTAGAGTTCGATGAGGTGCTTGCAATAACTGTGGTAGTGGAGAGCAAATACATTAGAAGCAGAGTTTTTGTAGCGGTGGAGACAATAGATGTTTTTACCGACAAAGATGGTTGTTGATTGGAAGTGGTGGTGGATGAAGTAGTGAAAATGGGATGGTGGAAATGGGGTTAAAGTTAGGTTTTCAACATTAAGTAGGTGGTTGTAGAATATGGTGGGAGGGGAGGAAAAAATATTCTTTAACACCTAATTATTGAAAATGAAAATTAAGAGGTAGGGGTGGGTATAATTTTCTCTTCTAGAAATCGAGACTGCCGCTGAAATTGTTTTTGAACTTTGAATTGGACCTAAGCCAAAGACATGATTGACTACACCCCAGTCTAGTACTTGAGACCACCCCTAACACTAATCAAATAAATAAGAAGCGAAACAATAGTTGAATTCGGAAAAAAAATTCTAAGGCAAAGATATAAGAAAATATTTAACAGTTCCTGACCCTAATTAAGTAAGATAAAAATACTTGAAGTACTTATTTATTTACATAGTAAAATGTATTGAAAAAATATAAAGAAGGCTAATAAGCTATTAACTTAATAGATGATTGTTAAAAAAAAAAAAAAAGCCCAGTTGGATTGATTCATTGAAATAGCACTTTCAATAAAAAAAAAAAAATTAGTAAAAGTTAATAAGCAAAATTGAATGGGCAGTTAATATGATGGCGATGACATTTGCCTTAGAGCCCAGAGTTCTACTGCGGTTGCTGCCAAAATATGCTTGGAGCTTTGGGGGGTTGATCGATGTTCGATTGGAATTTGAAATTTGGAATAGGTTTGGGATTTTGTTTTCCAATTTGAACGGGATGGAAAAGTCAAAGAGGGGATTTGGGAACAACATTTGAAAATTCAATTATGCTAGTTGTACATTAAGGTTGACACGGTATGATGCATCAAAATTTGTGACATTAGTTATTTAAAGTGTTGTTAAAATCAATATATAAAAAATTGCCAACTTACCACAATGTGAAACTTGATATTAAAGTTGATGTATATGTAGTAAAATTGCTGGAAATTTAGGTTGGATGGGTGATCGTAGGAAATCCCTCAAGTACATTGTATCGTGAATATAAGTAATAAAGTGACAAGTAAAGTATTATTTTTAAGGGACTATGTATTTAATCTAGTATCAATTAATGTTAACTTTAATTGAGTAGCCAAATATGTTTCAAGAATTAATATTAGTTAACTAATTAAACTAACTATTCTAATAAGCAAATTATGAGATCTTTTTGTAAAATTAGATTGAATGTTTACTAAGATTTCTAATTCCCTTTATTAATCCAATTTAATATAATGACAATGTGTATGCAGTCTTGTTTTATCAATGTTCCTAAATTATTTAGTAATTTCTCTCAGGTAAAATTAAATTTATATTCTCATGTGACATTCTTATATCTTTTTGAAAGATGCGAACATAAAAGCATGCATTAAAAACATTAAAACATCTATTGAAATCATGCAAATCATATTGGTATATATCTTTATCCTCTATCGGACCTTACAATGGTTGTTATATGTGCTATCTATTCTATTATCTCTCTCAATAACAATAAAACTCACAATTCAATTCAATTAGCGATCAAGTAATTGAAAGCATTAAACACAATAACAATCATACAAGAAATCATGCATATTGGATGCAAAAATATTTAATTTATATTGAAAATTTTATAATAAAGGTTCATCTACGTCTTAATAATTGGAAATCTAGCTAGCATTGCCAAAATTCGTGTATATAGTAAAACATCACCTTGATTATTAATAAATTGAGAAAAAAAATATCAATCTTGAAATTTTGAATCTCTTCAATGGTTTCTTGCCCATGAATAAGGTCGGATCTTCAAATTATTGAATTCTTGCAAATTCCTTTTAAATTCTCTCAAAAGATTGATGAATTGGCCTCCATTTTCTTGTAAGAATAGATGAGAATTAATGTATGAGAGGCCTCCCTTTAACTATGATATCGTCCTCTATTTATATGATTTGAAATTTAGGTAAAACTCGCGTTGAAATCGGTTTCCAAAAAGCATTTGACTCAAAAAAGGAAAAATGTGCGTCATCCCTCATTTTGTATCGTGCTTGCCATGTAATTCACGGAACACACACCCTCATGGCTTATGCTCTCAAGTTCCATTGAACCATGAGCTCGCACGCACACATCGTGTAATTCACGGAACGCGTGCTGTTCATCAAACTTTAGGACTAATTTCTAATTTCTCGATGGCATATCTAGGTCCTTTCTTCATGTCATTTCCATCGTTTACCTTTCAATTGTATCCAATTGAACCTGTATAATCTTCAATCATTATTTTGTTACTCGAATCAATTAATGAATATTTACAATTTGGTCTACAAACTTTAAATTTTGCTCCTTCGTCGTTTTTCGTTCATTTCTTTCAATTTCACTTCCAATTGAATCTGGCTCAAGTTGGACCTCATTATAGCCTGATCGAGCCTTCTAGATTGCTCCTGACCTAGTCTTCAAATTGGGCAAGCTATACTTGACCAGCATGACTCAACAATCAAGTTTTTTTTTTTAAATAATTGGCTTTCCCATCTTAAGGACTCTAGATTCAAAGGGTAAGCTTACATTGGCGAGGACAGAATCCTGGCCAGGTGTCTCCCTGTTCATGTATAGGGGGAAATGCCCTGTATATGTAGCACCATCCAGATTTAAATCTTCAAGTAAGATATTTGGCATCATCTCTGGTATTCTGTACAACTAAACTAAAAACCCATGCCAGCACCTTTCATACCGTAAGCATTATAGTAAATATTTTATTAATCTCGTGGCTAGATGATCAATGACATTGATTATGAATTGTTTAACGTTAATCAGAAGTAAATACATAAAAAAAAAAAAAAATCAGATAAGAGAAAAGGAGTTGTTTGATAAAGTGTTATCAGATTTTTAAAAAGTTGATCAAAATTAGATTTCACTTCAACTTTTTTTAATGACTTAATACTTTCCAAAACAAGCACCAAGGAAAGACACACACCATCAATGAGCAGGGAGTTGATTGATTATTTGAGGAAAGGCAGGACAGTTCATAAATGGCACGATAGTACTGTTTCTGGAGAGAAATTTCTGCGGTTACCAGATATGCACGTCACAATATTTTTTGGTGGTCTCGTGTATCTAGAGTAGTGTCTATAAATCTAGGCTATACATGTATAACCCTATACCATATATGAACGGGCAAATAAGCAGAAGGCAATTTAATATAGTCGTTTGGTCCAGTTTCTAGTTCTTATTTTGCATTCAAGATTACAGACATTGAACTGTAGCAGTCAGGAAATTAAGAAACAGTACGTATGGTGAGTTCTCCGCTTGGAATGAGGAAAGGTGCATGGACTAAAGAGGAAGATAATCTCCTCAGGAAATGCATTGGCAAGTATGGAGAAGGGAAGTGGAATCTAGTTCCTCTAAGAGCAGGTATTGCCTCAGAATACACGAAAGTAGGCGTGTGTTTTGTGTTTGAGATGCGTGCAGGCCGGATATATACTTATCAAAGGCTTGAAAGTGTGTGTTGGATCGAGACTTGAACTCAATTCTTTTATCTGGGTTTGATGCCATGTTGTCTTTGACTGATCTTTTCAGAATTTCGTTTTTTGAGAGTCTCTGTTTGATTTTTCTGTCATCTGTAGGGTTGAATAGATGTAGGAAGAGTTGTAGAATGAGGTGGCTAAACTATCTGACGCCAAATATCAAAAGAGGGGACTTTACACGGGATGAAGATGATCTCATTATAAGGCTTCATAAGCTGTTAGGCAACAGGCGAGTTCAAAATACTATTTTTTTCTGTGGCCCTAAAAATTTTCTCATTCTCTGTCTTGAGCCTCTTAATTGTTTGATCATTTGGCATATAATCTGAAATCATGAAAGTTGGGTTTTCTTTTCTGGCTAGGTTAACAAAGAACTTGCTAAATTTTATAGGTTGGAGTAAAAATTAAAGAATAACATATGAAGACGAATATTACAATACGCAAGGATTATAACTCAATTAAAATTAATTGATCTTAACATTACTAGGCTTGCCCTCTAGCCGTTGACTATTAAAAATAAACAATTTAAGCTTGAAAATTTTTCATTAAATGTCCTAAAAAACACAAAATTTTCAGACTAGCTTGAACAAACTCGAAATTGATGCAATAAAAAAACTCAGTTCAATTGCAGCCCCAAAATTTCGTTCATTATGCAATTTATGCATGTTTGTTCCTAGTAACGTGTGTATGTAACTTGGTAAGATCTATGCCTTGCCACATTCACGCAGATGGTCGCTGATTGCTGGTCGAATTCCCGGAAGAACAGCAAACGACGTGAAAAACCATTGGAATACTCATCTACAGAAGAAGCTAGTTGCTCAAAAAGAGGACACGGACAAATCCCAGAAAACTACAAAAAGTACCATCTTAAAGCCTCGACCCCTTGCGTTCTCAAAAACTATGGCTTGCTCAATAGAAAGCTCTGCTTTTGAACAAAACATTAGGAGAAATGAAAACTCATCATCACCAAAAGTAATAGAAGGTAGCATCAAATGGTGGAATAACTTGCTTGACACTAAAGAAAATGGTGATCAAGGAACCACACTTTCCAATGGATTATCTCTTGGATTTCTAGAAGGAGGCTGGGAAGATTTCTGTCATGACAAAAACATTTGGGAAATTCTTGAATTCTGATCAAACACTGATGCAGTAAATCACTTTTGAATTTTCTTATGTCGGATGTGTCTGTGACTGTGAGTGTGTGTGTGTGTGTTGGAAGTGCATGCAGTGTCTATTGCTTTTACAAAATAGAAAGATGAATTATACATGTTTACTTGCATAGTTGGACATAAGCCCTAAAAGCATGTATTGTTCTCTCTAGGAAAATAAATATTAAAATGATAATTAGCATGTAACTTCCTTACCTTTCACTATAATGGTGGAAAATATTATTGCTTTTCATTTTTTGACATTTTTACTTTAATTACTTTCACATTTCGTTATGCAAAATGTCATTTTAATCCATTTTCTCAATTAAAAGTTGTGAATGACTAAAAAACTAATTGCAACTATAATCCCAATTTTTTTAAAAAAAGTGAAAAAGAGTCTCAAATAAATTATTAAAAAGGTAATTAGCACATAATATCGATATCTTTCATAATTATTGTGAAAAACGTCAATCCCCTTCATTTTTTTTGGCATTTTCATCCTTAATTACACATTTGATAGCGTAAACCATCATTTTTATCCATTTCAACCAATTTCTCAATAAAACACTTTGAAATGACGAATATATCATAGTCCCAATTGAATATATTTAGCCTTTAAAAAAACATATTTCACCAGCACAAGTCGTATCATCAAAAAAGCGACTTCGATCATCAATTAAAGGCATGAGCACGTATCACTAATACTCACGCTTTTTATTGTAATATAGCAAATAAGTAAAATTATTTTTAAGTCATTTTATTAGTCAAACTGTAAAATGTGCAAGTTTCTCATATTGACTCCAAACTGTTTATCATAACAAAAAGGATGATTGAAGCAGCTGTATCAAACCTTTCATTTAGTGGTAAACTTTGCACAAACCTTTTATTTGTGTCAACCAAGTACAAAATCTTTCATTTTTGCCACCAACAGTACCAAACCCTTCAAAATATCAACAGTTGTAGTCCAAATAGATGGTTTTTGTTAGTTTAATCGTTAATTGACCAAGTAATTGACATTGACAATAATTTTGATTAATTTTAAAATGTTAAAATGGTAATTTTATATTTTTTAATAATAAAATAACCAAAATCAAACAATTAAAATTGAAAACCCATTCAACCTTCTTCTTCTCCACCACCCCCACCCCCACCCCCACCCCAAATCTGCAAATCTGGGTTTGACACTTCGAGAATGCTTCAATAAGCTCGGGAATGGAGTCTCCAAAACCGAATGTGTGTTCTGCTGCAATGGCAGTGGCTCTAAGGAACTCTGCATGTGCATTTAGCCCACTTCATCTTTATTGACCATGGAATCAGAAATCCAAAACTTCATCCGAAACAGTTCATCTTCTTCCCTCCCCTCACACTTACCCCCACCTTTCCTCACCAAACCCAAATCGAACGAACCGAAATCCACCTACCTTCAACCATGCCGACGATCGCCACAAGCGGCCCCGCAAATTAGCACAAAAAAATGGACCTTACTAGAAACTTACTTAAACGTCATACAGAAAATCCCTAAATCCTTTACAATCTCTTATCTCTTCTTCTCCTTTTTGGTCAAGATAATCTCTTCGACGAACCATTTATGCAAGAAAATCATATTTTTATCGAGGAGCTCCATTTCTGATCGATTGTTAAGTTCAAATCTATAATCCATCCTACGTAGATCTACATAGTTGGGCAACAAGTTTTCTGACGCCGTGGATTCGAGGATTCGAAGAGGTTGATTTCCCATATTTGCAGATTTGGGGTGGGGGTGGGGGTGGGGGTGGGGGTGAGGGTGGAGAAGAAGAAGGTGGAATAAGTTTTTAATTTTAATTATTTGGTTTTGGTTTTTTTTATTATTAAAAAATATAAAATTACAATTTTAACCTTTTAAAATCAATCAACATTATTGTTAAAGTCAATTATTGTCAAATTTACTCAATAAGGGTAGAAAAAGGTTATTTTGTATAATAAGTTCTTTCTAAAATAAATGCTTCTTTCATTGTTCAATTAGAAATATATACCTTTTTTGACATTAAATCGTATGTTTACTTTCAAATTAAGTAAAATTTTTATTTAAACATTATAAAAAGTAATTTATTAAACATACTTGACAATAGTTTTTTTAAAAAATAATTTTATTTTCAAGCACAGCCAACAGATGAGGTAAATTCAACTCAAAAAAGAAAAAACGCATATAGTTAAGGTAAACACAGAATATTGCACAGGTGTTGATGAAGTCATGACTGATCAAATCACGGACCACTACTATACGACGATCATCTAATCAAATTTCAGATCCACTTGAGCTGGTTCGTACAACTTAACTATTGCCCTTGATTGGAAATCATTAAAATGAGTTTTGAAATGTTGATATTTAAAATAAAAAAAAAAGTGCGATAAAAATGTATTTTATATTACAAATTAGAGAGAAAGTTAGATAAATCAATAGATTTGTGCGTTTTATTAAGAATGAAAACCCAATATTTATAGGAAATAATTAGAGTTACATGGGATATAACAGTTGTAATGTCTATTTGGCAAAAACTAGATGAGACAAAAATGTCAACAAATAATAGAGTGCAAATAATTTGGAGTAATAAACTGCTGCCTTGTTAAAACGTTATGAAGAAAATCCATTGAGACATAACTTGATCGAAAGAAAAAGAGTATAGCTACTCCCGAGATTTCAATTGTTGTATCAAGCAAATCATGTCTTGCATGTCGGTGTCTTCAATGTTGATGTCTGTACATCAATGTCTTCAAAAAAATTAAATGGGACAAAACTGGATGACTATAGTAACATGATGATTCAAAAAATAGCTCTTGTTAATCTCTTCAAGAATCTCATATATATTAGAGTATCATTCTGAAGGTAAATGTCTTATATGTTATGCACATTCATTACACAAAAAATATATCTCGTTAAAACTTTAGTAGGAAAATCCAAATAAAGGAAAAAAAATACATTTATTCTTTTGAATACGCCAAAAATATTGTCTAATTAAAAACCTTATCAAAAAAATTCAATTGGACAAAACATTGATCAAGGAAAAAGGGTATAATGCGTATTTGTTTCCCATCATGATAATATCATTTGAATTATGCTTCAAACATATTAAATTCTTTCGGGATTGTATTGAAATCATACAAGATAAATTGTCTATAATCACATTTATTACAAGCGTATCGAATTTCATGCATTGTCAAACTAATGAAATAGAGACTTGTGATTACATTCATCATATGATAATTTTTCTATTTATACAAGTTTTAGCGAAATTCATTATGTAAATAGTCGTTCATTTTATATAACGACTTTACTTTTCCATTTTCATTTTGCATAAGTATACAGATTTAGATGTTCAAGCTGTATTTCCAGAAACTTAAAGTTTCTCTAGTAAGTTTAATTTTAATAGGATCGCATCCAGAAAATTTAGGTTTCTCTAATAAATTCAATTTTAGTATAATTGTGTCATTTTATTTGGCCAATCATTACTTTGATTGATATGTTTAAAGAATGTATTCTAATTCCTATTCATAATATGATGTAGTACATCATGTGCAAAAGTGTGATCGACAACATTTTCTTTTTCAATTATATTTATTTTCTTATAATGACACAACTTATTGAGATATTTCAATTTTCAATATATCAGGTACCCGAACATCTTCTAAAATTTTATAATATACCATGCCTAAATACTCATCAAGAGTACATGCTTCATTAATAAGATCATTTTTGCTAATTACTCCATTTTCGTCTGGAAATTTTTATGTTAGAATCGAATATATTTAGGCTTTAGACAAGTTATGAATATATCAAATATAATATTTACTAATTGGCCTTCAGGAAGTTAATTCGAGTTGGAGCATTTAAAACTAGTGTATGAGATATTGTTGATCTCTTTGATCAATAAATGCATCTAAATGTATCATCATTCGAACTTTTGGTTCAAATTATCTTTTGCGAGGATTCAGATAAGATACATTTATATATTATTTTTAGCTTCTTAATTCTTCTCCCTAATGTTGAGAGAATTCTTCAATCAAATTGACAATGAACAAACCACTTTATAAAATATCATCCGTCAGGGCTTGAAATTTTGTATAAGGGTTTAAATTATGTATTTCTTCTCAGCATTCTTTACTTTCCATCTCAGTGAGTGCTAAATTAGTTTTATATATACTGCACTATCAAAATAATTAGATGAAAAAATCATGCTATGACCATAAAAGCTAATTATAATAAGGATAACTATGATACTGACTTGATACGTAACAACATTCCCAAAACATAAATGAGAAATATTTTGTTCTTAATTAAATTATTTGGAGGCGTTTAACAATCAATAATATTAAACCATTTATCGACATCTCAACTAACACTTATCAAAAGGTTGAGATTTAGTATCACTAGCATTTACAAGACACGCCGTCTTCATTGTATAATCTGAAAATTATGCTTATAATTTGAGCAATAATTCCCCAAATTTCATGTTGCGAATACTTTGCAATCATTTAGTATTTGTATTAAATTAGTTAGATACAAATAATATTTAAATGGTTAATGTGGAAGATCAATGATGGGGCTCAATTTATCACCCTTACTAATTTTTCAGAATTATAGGAAATTCAGCCACTCTTTTAACTAGTGATGATCAATTTTTGATAAAAATAACAAATATCATATGTGAATTCATTAGATTGAAGAATCTTCAAGTTCTTCGTTAAATATCCATTTGAATTTTTTTATTTTGCATCATTATTGATCCAGCGATGGTTCAATTGGTCATGTAAAACAATAATACATTCAATAATTAAACTTCCGCTTCAATACGGTGCTTGTTTTAATTGTATCACAGGTGTTAAAAACTTATTACGTTTCTCTTTAATTTAGTAGAGAATAAATAATAATAATAATAATAATAATAATAATAATAATAATAATAATAATAATAATAATAATAATAATAGGTTTATCCCTTCGTATAACAC